GAACTCACAAAGATCCACCCACCTCTGCCTTCCAAATGGTGAGATTAGAGGATTAGAGGTTTGTCCTACCATACCTGGCTCCATCTACCTATTCAATTTTAAAAGTTGTAATAAACAGGAGCTGGAGAGATGGCTCAATGATTAAGAACACTTGGTGCTCTTCCAAAGGACCCAAGTTCTGTTCCCAGTACCCACACGGTGGCTAACAACCATTCTTAACTCCAGTTCCAGGGGAGCTGATGCCCTTTTCTGACCTCTGCAGACATTGCACACACAAGTACACTTACACACATTCAGGAAAATCACTCATACCCATAAAAATAAATAAGGTGGGGTGTGGTGGCACATGCCTTTAGTCCCAGCACTGGGACAGAGGTAGGCAGATCTCTGTGAATTCAAGGCCAACCTGGTCTACATAGTGAGTTCCAGGTCAACTGGGGCTACAGGGAGACCCTGTCTCAAAAAGACCAATCAATCAATCAATCAATCAATAAATAAATAAATAAATAAATAAATGTTTAAGTTGTAATGACAGCATAATAAACTGTACTCAAAACAGGATGTCCATGTGGAAGACATAAGAAGACACAAGATGGACTACCTTTCAATAAGTAGTATAAATTCCTTCTACAGAGATGGAAAAAAAGGTTTGTCTAAAAGACAATTCACTGTACACATTTTATTTACAGTTTTTTATACTCTCATGATATGAATGGACCTGCTTTTCTACTTGAGTCATTTTTAACAAAAGCAAAATAGCCTAAGTAAAGTGTTAAATCATAGCATAAAGATAGAGAAATAGACACACTTATTCTAGTTAGGAATGTAACTGTGGTGTGCACTTTTTTCTATAATCCACAATTATGTTTAGGAACTCACAAACATAGATCACTGATTTGAATGAAGCACATAAATATGTAGCAAAACTTTATAGTTAACAAACAAAATTACCAAAGGATGCACAGAATTTTAATGTTTATTCCACCTTTTTGCTATTTCCTGGATCCTTTGCCACTGTTACATGAGGGTAAAACAAAAGCAAAATAAATGAAAAGCTGACATCAGTACCACTGTCATCAAAGAGGGAAGCCAAATCCAGCAGCGGTCAGCAAGAGCACAACAAAGATAATGCTGTGAAAAGAAACTGAAAATCTCTAGAAAGCTATACCCATCGCACCCTGAAACCAGCAGAACGTGTATTGCCTGCATGTGTGTAAGTACACCCAATGTTGTGCAGTTCCCGAGGAGATCAGAAGTAGGTATCAGATCCCCTGGAACTGGAATTATGGATGGTTTTAGCTGCCGTGTGGGTACTAGGAATTGAACCCAGGTCCTCTGTAAGAGTAGTCAGTGCTCTTAGCTGCTGAACCATCTCTCCAGCCCTGCAAGTTCTTTCTTAAATACTGTTAAAAAGTAAAATGCGTTTATAGTGGTAATTATACTAGGCTGTTACAGAGAGGGCCAGGGACACCTTTATGGACATTGGGGAATTATATATATGTAATTCTTTGATTGTGCAGCATTACTACGCCAACGTTACAATTACCTGAATGAAAAGCCTGACTCTTAGTTTTTAAGAGTGGGCCCAAACTCAGAGAATACTTGTTCCCCCACATACCTTTTGGAACTGTCTGTCTCCTAGAACTGTGCTGATGAAACTGTCTCTGGAACTCTTTTTCTGAACTTCTGTCCCCAAGTCAGGCCCCACCCATAATTTTATTCAAAATAGTTTCTCCAGCTTTAATTGGGGAAGTACAGGTTTGGCTCCACCCTTATCTTAACAGACCATCCTATCTTTTCATCCCTAGTTCTAGAATATATCTTTTACCCAGACCAGGGTTCCTTCCAAACTCCACTGTATGCCCTTCCTAGTCTCCACTGTATGGGATAGAGATGGGTGCACTGACTTTCAGTGCTTTTAATGTGCTTATTTATTTATTATTGTATTCTTTTTGAAACAGGGTCTCCCTATAGCCCCATCTGGCCTGGAACTCACTATGTAGACCAGGCTGCCCTTGAACCCCCAGAGGTCCACCTGCCTCTGTCTCCTGAGAGCTGAGACTAAAGGCATGGGATGCCTTGCTTGATATGTTAATTCTCAAGCATACCCACATTCATTCATTATCTTTTGGGGCAGAGCACTAAATTGAGGTTCCCAGGAAACAAGATCAGGTGCCCAGGTCACAATACACAAGAGCACATGGTTTTGCTGATGTTAATTAAAAGTCTTTAGTCCATACTACACCCATTTTATAAAAGCCATTCTACAGGATAGTAGACATTTTGAAAAAAAATTAATGTTAAAAAGGATGAACACAGAAGCACAAGAAAAAGGCAAATGAGACTTTTCATGTCTCAGCAACACTGAGATTAGGCATAGCCAGGCATTGGGCCAGCAAGATGACTCAGCTGGTGAAAGCACTTGCCTCTAAACCTGATGGCCTGAGTTTGCTTCCCAGGACCCACATGGTGATGGAGAGAACTGACTCCTGTTGGTTATCCTCTGACTTCTACCCACCCACACTGTGGTGTGGTGACAGGTCAGCAAGCACCTTCACCTGCTTAGCCATCTCTCCAGTCTAACTTTTTTTTTTTTTGATTTTTTGAGACAGGGTCTCCCTGTAGCCCCAGCTGGCCTGGAACTCACTATGCAGACCAGGCAGGCCTTGAACTCAGAGATCCATCTGCCTCTGCCTCCCAAGTGTTGGGACTACAGGCGTGTGCCACCATGCCCGGCTTTAGCCTAAACTTCTTAAAGTGTATTCTGAAACTTTTTTCTGGTATCTCATCTAGTTCCTTCTTCTTGGCTCAGTTATCGGCAGACTGAGGACGTTTGGAGGTTCACGGTGACTTGTTTTCTCACCCTTTCTGTTCTTTGTTGTTTCACACATCAGTTTGGATGGGTGTGCCGTCCACTGCTGTTCTTTCCTCCTGCTCTTTTTGCTGATTTGATTTATTTTATGTGAGTCTTTGTCTCTGTACAGTCTTTGCCTGGGCTTGTGAGCTCCACTAGTCTCTAGAGGGAGGAATCAGACAACAGAAACAGAAACGATGGTTTGGCAAAGGCCAGGTATTAAAGTGCAGTAAAAAGCTCTTATGCACTTCAGTTACATCCCCAATAAGGTTTGGAAACAGAGAAGCTAGTGTACTGTTAGATAAACATACTGTAAAGAGTTTTCAAGTTATGGACATTAAGTAAAAAAAGAAGAGGTATGGGAAAAAAGGAAGAGTAAAATAGAAATGAAAAGGAAAGGATATGAGTTAGAGGTGTGGTAAGCAATAGAGAAAATAAGATAGGCAAAATGCCTGTTCGAGCAAGGTACACAGTAAAACTAAAAATGCTAAAGTGAGAGTTAAGAAACAAAACTGTGAAATAAAGTTGAATACAAAATATTTCATTAGTCATTATTGCTTCTTTTGCAGATGAATGTATTGCTTCCCACCCCTTCAGCTTTTTTGCAGCTTACTCTGCAGGTGGGAAGACGGCTGATACACTTCATAAATTCCAGTAAGCTAGACCTGCCGTCCTTTCTGTTGGGTTAGGCTCCTGCATGAGGACCAGTCCTCAGCTTGCTTGCCATGCGTGGTGCTTTTCCTATGCCTCACTGCCAACTCAGCCTTCTCTCTGGTGTACTACTGGTGCTGTTTGGTATCTGAGTTGGGATCAGGGAGATTGCGCTCTGTTTACCTTTGTAGCTGGCTGCTCTCCCACCAAGGCCTCCCACAGTTCTTGCCTGAGTATATTGACATCCCCCAATCTGTGTGTCAGGTTCAGCTCCAGTCTCATAGTCACATGGCTTTTGGTGTCCTTGTTAACTGATTGGTGATGGATGGCATCTCTGGAGTTTGGGAGATACAGTAGTGCCAAATATTCTGCTTTCTCTGGCAGACCACCTTGATGACAGGGTCTCTCAGAAAGATAGGTTCCCTCCTCCCAACCTGGGAGAGAAGGAAGACAAGTACCCCCAGAGAGTCTGCTGGTCCCTGCAGATTTCCAGGCTAAAGTCTCCTCTCTTGTTTGCAGCCCTAGAACCAAAGGAGGAGAATTCTCCATTCTGCCTATTGTTTCCCCTATATATGTAACATTCAGTTATTTTTGGACTTCATCTGTTTTCTTACTTTCTGTTTACTGTGGCCCTCTCTGGCCTTGGCACCATTCTCTTCACACTCTTCAATCACAGATCGCATGTTTTCTTTCAAATTCGGGGGGGGGGGGCACAGAGTGCAGTTGTCTCTATTTTGTCATTTTCTTTATATCATAAGACCACGTGTCTTTAAGGATGCTGTTGAATCAAATTCTGTGAGATATTTGAATAATTTGTAAAGGATCTGGAAGGCAGAATAGATAAGAGCACATGTTCTGCTATCAGAAATCCTGGGTTTGACGGTTGATTCTGCCACTTATTTGCAGAGTAACACCAGGTAAACTTTAATTTCTGAATGTAATAATGAAGTGCATGCCTTAAACAGTTGTCTTCAGGAACACAATTGTAGTAGTGCTATTTACTTTAATTGCTATGTAAGTGTTCAAGATTATTGCTGATAGTCCTGGTTGAGGTGTACCTTTAGCTATAATTTGTTTCAAAGAACTTTGTCACACGGAGATTACTTTAGTTAAACTGAAATAATATACAGGTTTTTCCAAACTTGTTGAAAACAAAACAGTTTATATTTAATTTAATGCAAATTATCTGTGTAAGAAATATGTTAATATGGGGCTGGAGAGGTGGCTCAGCAGTTAAGAGTGCTAGCTGCTCTTAGAGAGGACCCGGGTACAATGCCCAGCAGCACCACATGGCAGCTAACAGCCATCCGAAACTCCACTTCTAGGGGAATCTGACATCCTCTTCTGACCTCCGTGGGCATGACATGGGTGCACTTACATACATGCAGGCAATACACTTATAGAAACAAAATAAAGAATAATAAAAATAAAATATTAAAAAATGCTAATATGAACTTTGTGCTCCAATTGTGATTATCTTCCATTTAATTTTTAGGCGAATTCTCATTGACACTGGAGAACCATCAATTCCAGAATATATAAGCTGCTTAAAGCAAGCTTTGGCTGAATTTGACACAGCAATCCAAGAAATCCTAGTGACCCACTGGCATCATGATCATTCTGGAGGCATAGTGGATATTTGTAAAAACATTGGTAATGGTAAGCAGAAAACAGTGGGCTTATTGCCTGAGGAATAGTTTACAATTTCGGCTACAGTTATTTACTACATGCCTTAAATTTCAGTAGCACTTTTGGATATGACTTGAATACTGTCCTTATCTTTAAAAAAGGAATGGAAAGCTGTTTTGTTTCAAATCTTCTTTCCCACTTACTTTCCTCAGTGATCAAGATAAAGTTTTAGTTTAGGCCCTGTAACTATAGTTCCGGGGGATCTGACGCCCTTTTCTGACCTCTGAGGGCATTGCATGACACAGGTGCACTTATGTACTACATACAGGCAGTATACTCATATACATAAAATAAAAATAATTAAAAATTTTTTAAACCTACAAGCATCCTAAAAGTATTATATAACATTACTTTTGTTATTTCTGTAGGAGGCTTACATGAAACAAATTAATTACGTATTAGACCAGTGCCATCCACATATTCTATTTGGATATAATCTAAAAATCTGAAACACTTCTTTGCTCAATCACTTTAGATAAGGGATACTCAGCCTGTAGTAGGGAAGATAAATGATAAATAAATAATAGATGATAGTGCACACTGTGAAGACAAAGCTACAGGAAGAAAGGAAGGATCACAATGGAGGACAATAGGCCATTCTGTCTAGGGTGGATGGAGAGAATGTCAGGCATATTAGGCTAAGAAAGGTGCTGGAATGGGACTGTGCTTGGTGTGTTCAAGGCATAGCAAGAAGGTAAGGAACTTTAATTCATAGCATTCAACTACTTTAAGTATTTGTAAGGCCTTGGGACATTGGGACACTATGTCTATGTCAGGTGCTGTATCCAGTATTCCCAGGCCACCATTTATAATAAATAAATAAATCTATAATTTACCTTTCCTTACTCCCTTTTTTCTAGCCCATAGAGGTTATGTGCCAAAGCAACCCATAATTTCTCAGCTTGATTTTACTTCAATTTTACCTTCTGTAATCAGCTACCCACTAGAAACTGTGAAGGTTCTTAATTAACTTTGACACTTCCATCAACTAGTTTAGCATAAAAGTTCATTTGAAGTGTTTCTTCCATAAATGTTCTTGCTGGGCTTGATGGCGCACACCATTTAATCCCAGCCCTGGGGAGGCAGAGGTAGGCAGATCTCTAAGGCCATCCTGAACTCACACAGAGTTGCAGGTCAGGTGGGGCTACAGGGAGACCCTGTCTCAAAAAGACCTTAAATCAACATTTTTCGTGTTTAGTTTATAAAAAATGAAATTGAAATATTTTAACTATACAATTTGGTTAGTTTTAATAAGTGTAAATACCTATATGAACACTCAAATATGCAGACCACTTCTACCACTCCAACAGCTATCCTCCTTGTGCCCCTTTGCAGAGATCAACTGCTAGCCTCTGCAGCCGCTGATCTGTTTTCCGTCACTATGTATTAGTTTTGCCTGTTCTAGACTCTTACACAGGGCGTGCTCAGAATTACTTTCTTTGGTTCCTCTCACATAGCATCATGTTTTTGAGATCCACCCATTTTTTTCTTTTTCTTTCTTAGTCTGTTTTGAGACAGGGTCTCCCTGTAGCCTCAGCTGGCCTGGAACTCACTACGAGGACCAGGCTGACCTTGAATTCAAAGAGATCTGCCAACTTCTGCCTTCCAGGTGCTGGGATTAAAGGCATGCGCCACCATGCCCGGCCCACCCATTTTTCATGTATCAGTAGTTTTGTGCCTTTTATTGTCAAATAGTCCACTGTATAATTATGCCATGATCGATTTAAGTGTCCATTAAAGTACCTGTTAATGAACACTTGACTCATTTTCTTTAAAGTAAGAGTTTAAATAGTTTGGGGTTCCATACAAAATCATAAATATTTGTACAGTTGCCATTCAGTTGATTTAAAGAAAGTAGAGCAGAAATTCGGCCCTGCTTTTTATAGCCACTGAAACTTGAATACTCTATGTGAGGACTGTCTTGCTGCCCATCTCTCTGGACTCCTTGGAAGGTCCATAGCCACATACAGACTCAGGGTTGCTTGGCGTTGGAATCATACAGGGTCGCCTTGTGTCATCTCTCTCCAGAAGTTCCACACCATTTCATTCTCTGAATCCTTAGTCTCTAGCATTCTTACTCTGTTTGGTTGCATTGTAGTTTACTTTGTTCCAAAATGCTTTACAGTTTTCATTACTGACAGGGCAGAAATATTTCAAGTGTTTTTCAGTGCTAACTACCTAAAGTGTTTTAACTACATGTATTTTACAAGCCATACGAAAAATAGAAATGCCATTTATACAATGTCTTTGGGAGGAGACAATAAATCCAAAACAACTGTTTATAAATCTTTTCAAAAACAAACAGAATAGAGGCTGGTTACGAGCACACACTGCTCTTACAAAGAAGCCTAGTTTTTTTGGTTCCCAGCATCCACACCAGGCAGCTCATAATTGCCTGTAACCAGCTTCAGGGGGATCCTTTGCCTCTTATTTCCTCAGGCACCTGAACACAAATGCACATACCAACATACAGACATATACACGCATAATTAAAAATAAATCTTTTAATTAAAAAATATATATACCTATTATGCACAAGCCTTTTCTTCCCTCAGTACTTCCAGCACTGCTGCCCTAACCTAACATGATCTCCCAGCTGAGTGGTTGCATCCCTCTCTCCACTGTTACTATTTTATAGCTGCCATATTGATCCGCCTGTTAACACCATCTCTTTATCTGATTAAAATCTGTATGGTGGCCACACTGATAAAGTTTAAATTCTTCTCTCCTATGAGCTGAGCTCATCTATCCAACTTTTCCCAGGTAGTATTTTGCATTAGACAAGATGGTAGCATTATGCTATCATACCTGCATGCCTTTCATCCCAGCACTCAGGAGGAAGAGGCAGGCAGATCTCTTAAGATTGAGGCCAGTCTGCTCTACATAGTGAGTTCCAGGCCAGCTGGGGCTACAGGGAGACCGACTCTCAAAAGACAAAACAAGCAAACAACCAAAAAGAAATAACTAGAAAAATCAAGAAGGCTTTTTGTTGTTGTTTGGGTTGGGTTATTTGTTTGTTTGTTTGTTTGTTTTGGGTTTTTGGAAACAAATAAAATCCCTAAGCAAACAGCAACAAAAAGCCTTTGTGATTTTTCTAGTTATTTACATTTTTTTTTTTTATTTTTCTTTTGGTTTTGAAACAGGGCCTTCTTGTAGCCCCAGCTAGCCTAGCTATGTAAATCAGGCTGGCCTCTGCCTCCTGAGTGCTGGGATTAAAGGCATACACCACCACCCCTGGCCCTAAAAGGGCTTTTGTGTAGACCTAGAAGGGCGTGACAGAATACAATGCTCTTGATGAAATATGTAAAGAAATATTTACATCTCAGATCAGCTGCTATATTTCTTCCCATCTTCCTGCTATCTTAATGTTAGTATTTTATACAGCCATTAATGAGTATCACCTGTATGAAAGTTGATCTCTTAAAGAGTTGGATCATTCAAAGTGCAGCTTAATATATTTACATGTTTTATGACTAGACACTGCTTACTGCATTAAAAAACTCCCACGGAATCCTCAGAAAGAAGAAATTATAGGAAATGGAGAACAGCAATATGTTTATATAGAAAATGGAGACTTGATTAAGACTGAGGGAGCCACACTAAGGTAAGTAAATAACCCTTAGGGCAGGTGAGGGGTCTACACATATGTGTTATAAAAAAGGATGAAGGCAGATATGGGCATATTTGCTTATATGTGTGAAGAATACATCGTGAAGGATGCAGAAGAAATCTGATGACAAGTGGTACTCTCAGGAGAGAAAATGGGTTGCTTAAGAAAAGGAAGATTTTTCACTCTATGTACTTTGTTATATTTTTATTCATACCGTATTTTACATACATTTACATTTTAAAAATTAGGCCTAGGAAGGCTGGAGAGGTGGCTCAGCCATTAAGAGCACTGGCTGCTCTGGCAGGGGACCCGGGTTCGGTTCCCAGCACCCATACAGTGGCTACGAACCGTCTGTAATCCAGTTTCAGGGAATCCGATGCCCTCTTCTGACCTCCACAGGCATTACATGAAACATATACACATACGCAGGCAATACACTCATACACATAAAACAAAAATAATAAAATATTTTTAAAAATTAGGCTCAGGAGTAATAGTTCTTATATCTGGGAGGCTGATGCAGGAGGTTTCCATGAGTTCAAGGCCAGCCAGCACAGGCCACCTAATAAGATCCAGGCTAGCTTGATCTACAGTGTGAGCTCCTCAAAAAACTAATGTATTTTTAAAAACTAACATGGCCCCCTGGGTGGTTTAGGGATCAACCTGCTTCTCACTTTTTGAAGTGAGAAGTGAAGCTGACCCGAACCTACAGTAAATACATTTTACGCCAAACCCTTGGCTCCTCATTACCTGTTTCAAAGATTCAGAAAGCAATATCAAACTCAGTAATTTTAAAACTGAAGTAATGATAGTCCTACAGTCTACACTTGCCTTCTGATCTCAGAACATCTGCTTTTTTCAGACTTTATTCAGGAGTACCTTTAACATTTAACTGTTCTTCTCCATTCCCATTTCACTGACCTCGCATCAAGTCCGGTTAGGTTTTGTCAGGGGCTGGCAAGGTGGCTTAGTGGGTAAAGGTACTTGCTGCCAAGCCTGATGGTCTGAATTTAATCCCTCGGACACACATGGCAGAAGAAGAACTGACTTCTACGAGTTGTCCTAGAACCTTCACATACAAGCTGTGCCCCCACCACACACACTCACAGGAAAATAAGTAAATAAAAATTAATTTAAAATTTAAAGGCATAATTGTCGATGCTGTCACATCTTCATATCCACTGCTTTCGTTTCCTGCTTAACCTTTCATCTCCAGATTTTGCCCTTTCTTGTCTATCCCTCATACGTTTTGATAACTCTCACTACCTACAAGAAAATATGTGTTTTCCTTACAGTTCCACAGACTGGCCCCAAACCACATTTCTGGTCTTAACTACTCCCCACAAACAGAGTTAGCCACATATAAATACTCCTGGGGATATTAGATGTTCGTGCCTTTGTTTATGTCTTCATTTTTCTGGATATTGCTCCATTCCCCGTACTTTTCTCCCTGGAAAACTATTATTTATACGGTTCACATTTTACTTTGAGAATCCTTTCTGGACAGAATTAACTGCTCCCTCCTCCAGCTTTCACATAATTTTTGTTATTTCATTAAAGCATTTATTAATTGTATTGTAGTATTCATGTATGTGAGTAGGTGTCTCCTCAGCTCTGACAAGTCACAGTAGTAGTTAATGCCAGTTGCCATAGCAAGCAAGTTTAGAAATATATAATGGCTCAAACATTAAATAAGTATAATTCTCAGTCACATGAAGTCAAAAAACAGTTCCTTATTTGTAAGTGGCCTTTAAGGTATTCAGCAGAATAGCAGCTCAGGTTCCTTTGATCTTGGAATTACAGCCTCCTCCACGCTTGGCTCTCAGGATCACCACACTCACAGCCATCCAACAAGTAGGAAAGAACATGAAGATATTGTGGAGGAGGTTTTCATGGGCCAAGCCTTCTGTTGCATCTGCTGTAAATTCAGTCATGGCCCACACCTGATAATAGGGAAGTAGGGAACGTAATTTAACTGCATGCCCAAGAGAAAGAAGAACAAATAGGTATGGTTATTAGCTAGCCATTCTCTGACACAGGCTAATACCAGGTTCATCTTTGTATCTTCTGGCACATAGAAGGCACTAAGTATCCCACTAGTAAGTATCTGTAAAGAGGCAAGTAGATGAACAGTTGAATGAGAAGAGAAAATGAAATAATGGGTATCCATTGTGTTCTTTCAAACCAGTACTCCAAGATAATATACAAAATCCCTGGTATAACTTATAGACTAGCTAGTTTTAGGCAGGTTTCTTAAAATGCTTATATATATGCTGGCATGGTAGCTCACGCCTTTAGTCCTAGCACTCAGGAGCCAGAGGCAGGAGGATTATGAGTTCAAGACGAGCCTGGGCTACATAGTAAGTTGTAAGCTAGCCAGAGGTACATGGCAGAATGACTGCAGACAAGGACAATGGACTGCATATTTCAGAAAGCTACAAGAAAGGATTTTGAATGTTTTTCCAGGAATAATCACTGATTGCAAATATAGGTGATTTAACCTTATTTAAACATTATACAACATATACATGTTTTAAAACAAGGCATGCCATAAATATGATTTTTGTGTTTTATATATCAGTACAGTTAAGTTTGTTGGCTTGTCCTGGTAGCATACATCTATAACCTTAGCACTTGAAAATCTGAGGTATGAGGACCATGAGTTAGAGGACAGCTGAGGCTATAAAGCAAGAAGAAAGGAAGGAAGGAAGGAAGGAAGGAAGGAAGGAAGGAAGGAAGGAAGGAGGGAAGGAGGGAAGAAGGGAGAGAGGGAGGGAAGGAGGGAGGGAAGGGTGTGTTTGTGGATATAGAATACATTCTAAATTCATTCTGTGTTGAAACTATATTTTGTAGGTAGGATTTCATTTTCTTCTACTTTGAATATTGTATTTAATAAACCTGAAGCCCTTCTGAATCCTATTTTTTTTGTCATCTGATTTTCTCATGGGGGGGTCTTTATTGCTCATTTTTTCCAGATATTTCACAATTATGTACCTTAGTGAAAATTTATAGTTCTAGGTCCTGTTAAGGAGAAAACTAGTCATGATTCTTATTAATGGCAGTAAACAGACTTTATTGAAAGGGTCCATGGGAATAGATACAGGACCAGTCCAGTGGGGTCTTCCTTTGGAGTGGAGGGATGTGGCTTGACCACAACTCTTAACAACCATAGGAAGTAACTATGAATAGGCACTAGAGATAAGGGGATTTCTGACTATCCCAGCTTCATAGGATTATTGCCAAGGACAAGCCAGATCAGGATGGGGAACCCACAGTAGAGGATTCTCCTGACCTGACTTTATTAGCTTCTACCAAGACAAAGAAGGAAGCTAAGTGTTAGACCAAGTCAGCATAAGGGAGGGATGTTTCCTCCGTCCTCTTCAGATCCCCGGCCAGGTTGGAAAATAGGATTAACAAAGACAGAATGAAAAAAGGAAAACAGCTTTAATAAATTTTATGTGACACTGGAGTTTTCAGGAGACCCAAACCTAGGTGTGGTAGGACAGACACATCCTTAATCCCAGCTCTGGGGAGGCAGATCTCTATGTGATGGGGCCAACCTGGTCTGTATTATATACTGAGTTCCATGCCAGCTTGGGGCTACAGGAAGACCTCATCTCAAGAAAACAAACAAAAAAGAATAAAGAAACAGGGAAACTGTATAATCTTATGCTATCTGAGGAAGCAGAGTCATAAAGAAGTATGACAGGAAAGAATGATGACCTAGTGGATAAGCTGAGGGAACTCTGCAGAGCCTGTTTGTTTAGATTCTTCTCTGTGTGTCTCTGTGTCTTCAGAAATAAGAAAGTCCCTTCATCTGGGTTATAAAGGTGGCACCTCTCACATGAAGTCTTGCACCCTCCTCAGAGGAAGGTCCAGAATCCTTGTAGATTTTAAGGTGTAGTTCAGGAGAGAGAGGGCAGTGGGTGGTCAGGAAGACCTTCTTGCCTATTCTCTTTTCTCAGATTCCCTCAGTTTGAAATGGTGTCTGCTCAAGGTGCCATATTTCAAAGTAGCTTGTTCTAAGTTGTCATCAGAAAGAACCCAGGGAGCCTGACCAAGGTTTTGATCACAGGAAAGAATCTCAGTCGACCCCAAATACACCTCTTCCGTCTGGAAACGTCCTTCAGTTCTAGGAAGTTGTTCTTCAAGTTGCTTATTGCTTATATTCTCTCTTTTGTTTTTTTGACACTAAAACTCCTGTGCTTTTGCTAGAACTCCACTTATCTACTAACATTTTTTCTCCCCTCCTGATGTCCCTCCTTCTTACTTGTTACTATGCCATCTGGCATGTTTGTATCAACTTTATCTTATGATGTCCTGCACACCTCACACTTTCAAGAGTTCATTTGTTCCCATGACGCTTCTTTCATACTAATCTAGTCTCATTTCTTGGATGCAATTTCTTCTCTCTGAGGGTTTCATGATCTGTGGAGTGTGGTTGTTTTTGTTTGGGAAAGTTTCTTCATAGTTTATTGCCTCTAAATTCCTTTGCTTGATCTTATTCACTGTCTTCAGTGTGAGAGGTATTTCTTATATCCTAATAATCTTGATTAGACTCTGATAGTTCCCAACTTTCTTCTGATGGAAACTACAGAACTATTATTGAGCTTTGAGAACTGCAGGGAGGGGTGTTTAGTGTGGGCCTACAAGGCATTGCAAATTATGGTATTACAAATACCAGAATCTGGATGAACTGCTTTGTTGTGTAACCTATCTTTGACCATTTAATCTTCTCCTAAGCTAGTAAAATAACTTAGAAAACACTTTTCTAAGGTCTTCTCAAAGGCTGGAGAGATGGCCCTCAGCAATTAAGAGCACTGGCTGTTCTTGCAGGGGACCTAGGTTTGATACCCAGGACCTACATGACAGCTAACAACTGTCTGTAACTCCAGTTCCAGAGGATCCGAAGCCCTCTCCTGACCTCCTAGGGCATTGCACGACTTGGGGCACTTACATGCAAGGCAGTACACACACACATAAAATAAAAATAATAAAAAATAAATTAATTAAAAAATAAAAAATAAGGTCGTCTCAAAATGTAAAGACTTTGATTACAACATTATATACTCTGAGTGTTGAAAAGGAATCTACCTATATAATCTTCGTTTTCTTAGTATAGTATCCCTACTTATATCAGTACCTCTTTTAGCCTTTTGGAAGATTAAATATCCAGTCTTTTCTGTTAATGGGATTAGAGTACTTTTCAGATAGCTCAAGGCAAGAAGAGAACTTAAATATCTGAATATTTCGAAGGCTTTTGTCGTTTTGGTTTGGTTTAGGTACTAAGAACTGAACCCAGAGACTCATATGTTCTACCACTGAACTACAGCCCCAGCCGTGAGTAATTGTTAAACCGATTTTCAACCCATCTTTCTTATTTTTGCTACTTTTCTCCTAACCTATACCCTTATCATTCAAATTCCTGATACCCTAAAACCTTGATTTTGAGGGACTCTTCGTGGTAAATCGGACTGCTCGGCTATTTCTGCCTGTTTAGATCTCAGTTTTCTCATGACTGATAAAGCATTTATCATTCATCTTCTAGTTTCTAAAATTTTGGTGGTATGGTCTTTTCTCCCATTCTTTTCACGCCTGTAGGGTTATGCCAGGTATGATGGAGCACACCTTTAATCTCAGCACTCAGGAGGCAGAGGCAAGCGGATCTCTGTGAGTTCAAAGCCATCCTGTCAAGGTCCAGGCCAGCTAGGGATGCATAGTGAGAACCTGTCTCTCATATATATATATATATGTCCCTTTCTGATAATTTTAGAAGAGAAAACAGATGCAGATGATGTATACTTACCATCTTTAACCAAAAATCCACATTCAGCCCCTGTGTATTAAACGCAAATGTGAATTATATTTACACAGTTCCCTCAACAGTCTATTATTGAGAGTTCTATTTGAAGTTTTCCAACTGCAAAAAAAATCAGTCCAGACTAGACAGAAAGAAAGGTAATTAAATTCATTTCTTAAGCTAAATAAAACAGTTTGAACTTTATATCCTGTCAGACATTTATTGCTGCTGCCTGTGATTAATTGATCTGAATTGGAAAGATTAATAGAAACCGCACCCAAAGTAGTGTAAGGATTAAGTGTGTAATACTCATAAACCCCTGAAGAGTGCTGAGACAGAAAGCTATGTGTTAAAATTAGCTACCACTAAGAGCTGAGCACCAAAAATGAAGCGTTGAACAGAAACGAGAGTCCTGCTTTCTAGGAACTTAGGACCTTGTGAGACTGGTCCTAACAGGTAAGAAAACAATGTGCAGCCTGTGTAATACAAGTATAATTCAAGGTGGAAGGGTGAAACAGGAAAAAATTAACTACAGAGGACTGAGTCTATGTGGCTGAGAAATCAGGAGATGCTTTGCAGAACAATTTAGACTTAGTTCTTTATCATTTTATATATAATATAACTTAATGTAAATATAAGTAAGTTCTTGATTTGGTAGTATCATATCATTTTTGAGTTTTTTAAATTTTTCATTACCATATATTATATATAACAGTGGGTTTCATTATGGCATTTTCATGCATGTATATAATGTATTTCATACTCACCCCTGTTCTCCCCTTTTGTCCCCTCCCTCTGCTGATCCCCTTCCTCTTCCCAATTAGTTCCCCTTCTACTTACACATTTTGGGACTGTGTGTGTGTGTGTGTGTGTGAGAGAGAGAGAGAGAGAGAGAGAGAGCGCCAATGAGTGTGATTAGTGTTACTTATAATAGCATGGGGCAACTTACAAGACTGCAGGCAACTTAGCAATAGTTGCACCACTGAAGAAAATCACATAGTAAGTTTTCTGTATTCATGTTGAGTCTTGTTTCTAGCTTTTATCTGTTTGTAATGGCTTGTTTCACTATCATGCTGTTTTAAATGCCATGGTTTGTACACTTCCTTGATCTATAATAGGTACCCTTTCTATGCTTATTTAAATATTTTTGCTATTTTTTCTAAAAATAGTTACATGTTTATTTTAATTTCAAACATGTTTGGCAATATCATACTTGTATACAATGCATTCCTCCTTGGCTGGCTAACATTCATAGTGCTGAAAGGTGCTGTGCAGGCTGATGGGGGAGAAAAGTCATCAACAACCATACGTAGGCCTTGTGTGCTATAGTACTGAACTGTCTTTTCAGATAGTCCCACTAGTCCAATGATGGCATGAATGTTCTGGGGTTAAACAGCTGTTTCCTGATTGGACCCTGATAGGTTTTGTCCTCAAAAACTGAAAATTGGAAGAGAGGAAAATACACATAAAAGCATGCTGAATTTCTTACGGTGTGAAATCATGCAAAAATTCTTTGTGACTGATTTTTTTTAGGGAAGAAAAAAATACTTTTAAAAATGTTTCTTTTAAATTTTTATATACTACTAAAGTAAAATACATTTTGAAACATGTAACATTGTGTCAACTATTATATAAAGCACTTCAGTACTTGTCTTTGGAAAATATTTAATGTTGTAGAAAAATACAGTGTAGTAAATGAAAATTTCAAAAGTTGGTCATTAAATCACAGTTTTGTTTTTTAATTGTGTGCAGAGAAAATTGAAAAATATTTTTTTATTAAAAATTCTGTTTCTGGGGCTGGAGAGTTGGCTCAGTAGTTAAGGACACCAGTTGCTTTTACAGAGGACCTGGGTTTCATTTCCGGAACCCACATGGCGGCTAAAAACCATCTGTAACTCCAGTTCCAGGGGAGTCTGACACCCTCTTTTGACCTGCGAGGCCATTGCATGACATGGGTGCACTTAACATACATTCAAGCAATATGCTCATATACATAAAATAAAAATAATAAATATTATTTTAAAATGCTGTTTCTGAGTAATGTTGATTTTTGTCTTTTTAAAGTACTTTCTATTCTCCAAATGTGTTGTAATAATCTGCTTATTACTTACAAAAAAAAAGAAAAGATGTTATTAAATTTGTACTTCTGAATGAGAAATGTGATTTAGTAATAGGGGAGAATTATCTAAGGTTAATTTTCTAAGAGCACCTCCTCAAAAAATAAGCTTTAAAACTCCTTTGCATCACGTGATGATATCTAATGGTAATAGAATTATATTTACTTCTTAATATTTCCTTAACTTTAACAATTCAAATTTGGAATTTTGTTATTTCTGTTTTCAACTAGAGTTATATACACACCTGGCCACACTGATGATCACATGGCTTTGTTCCTAGAAGAGGAAAATGCCATCTTTTCTGGGGATTGTATCCTAGGAGAAGGAACAACTGTATTTGAAGACCTC